TTATTTGCGTGATTTAGTTATTTGCAAATAAAAAAATTAACTCAGCGTTTATATGGTAAAGTTTACCATTTTGCAAATTGTTATTTGCAAATAATGCGTGCATATAAACGTAGTTATAGTCAAATTCAGGAATGTGGTGGCGAAAAACGTTATGCATGCAACATATTTATTAATTATTTTCGCAACCTCATAGTTTGTACTGAAAGGTTACTAATAAACACTGAAAACGACTTTTGAGAACTCCAATATTACCTGCCGAAGAATATGTTTGATTAAATGCGTGTTGTAAAGACCGTGGCTATGGATTTATAAACGGTGTCAACAGAAAAGGTTCCAGGGCATACCCGACTTCGCCCAATAACCACGAATGGCGATCACTATCTCGATTTTATCCCCAGTTAAACATCGTTACCTAAATCACTGACTCCATGCACACAACATTGTGCCGGTAACGTCGGCAATGGTACGGTGCTCCTTCCCAAAGCGATGCTGGTCCATTCGCTTTGCTCCCAGGAATGGAACTGTTTGCGTACATAAGGCAGCAAGTCACCCAAAATCTTTAGGAGTGCAAGAGAGCTATAAAATATAAAATTATACTTTGAAATAGCAAAAGAGAAACCAGTTGCTTGCATACTACTTACGCAGAGTCCGGTAATTATATGGGATTGCTCCGATCGCGCAAGATTGTTTGCCTCACTTTTTCATTTGTTTGCTGCTCATTATTGAGCAAAACAGCTAATAAAACCATTGAACTCGTTTTAATTTTCACTTTTTAATTTCTTCAAAAGAATTTTGACACTTCAGAACGCAATTGACAAGTAGGAGGTTTGTTTCTTTTTTTTCTACAATCCGATTCGATATTAACTTCGAAACAAAAGTTCCGATAGGATTGTGGAACACCATTGAAATTCAGCAGAACAGGGCTGTATATTTTTATTAAAAAAAAAAATAAAACAAATTTAAATTACAAAAAATAATACGTTAAAACTTGTCAAAATATGGTGCGGCTATAATTTTTGTTTCATGTAAACAAGTGACAAAAAAATATAAAAAATTTAACGCTTGAAGCAAAGCTTTCGACTCATACATAGCCAGAGGGAAGTCCCCCGCTAAATGCCGTAGATTTTTGAACGAGAACATACATATTTACGTAGAATTGTACTCACATGTATGGTTGCCGGGTAAACCGGAAAATTGGTGGTAATTTTAAAGCTGACGAACTGACAGGCAAAGGTAGGACCACTCAAAACCTTCAAGGAAAGGACACGGTGGACATAATTAGCTTTCAAGCACTTTGTTAAAGATCACAACATTATAAATAGTAACCAAGGAACGCTGGAACAACTTTCGCCTTGCGTAACTTTCAGGATTACCTGGTATTTCTGTAAAAGGCCCGTAAGTGTTGGGCCACTTACTAATGTGGAATCGGAACCTATACTGAAAAAGTTACCAAATAGAACATGTAAGAAAGTCTAAGTTCGGGCGGAGCCGAACATTAAATACCCGGCGCAAGTATTAAATATATGTTTTTTCACCTTTCCGAAAGCTACCGCTAGATGGTAAACCGGGGTGTACCAATTTTGAGTAGCGTCCTTAAATTTCGAATTATTACAGTTTCAAGCATTTCTGAAATTTACCGTTATATGAAAAGCGACCGGAATTATAGCCCGACTTCAATAATTTTTAACAATTGTCTTTTATGTGGCAAGCACAATAACCGTACCGAGTTTGGTACAAATTGGTAGAACGGTTACCGATATACGTATATGTTATCATAAGTGGGCGGTGCCACGCCCATTTTCCAAAATTTTACCATAAACGTATTTCTTGGTAAAGAATTGTTGCAAGCATCAATTTTGAATAAATTAGCTTTAATATTTACTGATTTATCGAAGATTTCGTATTTCTCTAAATTACCGTTATATGGGATGTGGGCGTGGTTATTGTCCGATTTTAAAAAGTTTCGGCCATTTTTTATGCTGTACCAAGGCCAACAACTGTGCCAAGTTTGGAAGAAATTGGTGCAGCGGTTACCAAGATATACACATGTAACCATAAGTGGGCGTGGCTACGCCCATTTTCCAAAAATTTATAATATTCTTATTTTTCGTCTAAAAATTATTGTAAATATCAATTTTGAGTGAATTATCTTCAGTAGTTACTAAAATATCGCAGTTTTCGTATTTCTGGAAATTACCGTTATATGGGAAGTGGGCGTGGTTACTGTCCGATTTCGCCCATTTTCAATACCAACCTACCTTGGATTAACAGAAACCTACATACCAAATTTCGTTGAGATATCTCAATTTTTGCTCGAGTTATCGTGTACACGGACAGACGGACAGACGGACGGACAGACAGACATGGCTTAATCGATTTCTCTATTCATTCTGAGCATATATGTATACATTTGTCTATATCTATCTCGATTTGTTTTGGCTGTTACAAACAACCGTTATGTGAACAAAATTAATATACCCTTGTGCACAAGTGCGCTCGGGTATAAAAATAAATTACCGAACTTGATAAATAAAGAAAAAAATTACCAATTTTGGTTAAAAATTTCTAAAGCGGCAACGCTGGTCAGAAGGCATAATTCCATTGCCGTCTTGCTGTCTCCACAGGCAAAAGTTTTTATCTTGATAATTTTATCAGACAATATTTTGCCAATGGAGACCGTATATTGCTCTTGGCAAGCAATAATTATCAGAGCTTATATATTGATAAATATGGCCAGCAATCTGGTAGTTTGACAACTACATTTTCATTTGCTCGAAAACTTCGTGGGGCCAGCGTGGGAATGTGAAATAGCAAATTTTATAAAATTTTATTTTATTTTTATTAATTCTTTTATCAAGATAAAAATTAAAAATTAAATTTATATCAGGCAATAAATTGGGTAGGCAAAAACTTTTGCCTGTGGAGACGGGCCGTTGAATAATCTAACAAAAGTGTTATGCCCGTGAAGAAGTTCTTGAAATTCTCCAATGATCTTGCGTTTCATAGCACGGTTAATCGCACAGCGAAATTAATTTGAAGAACTTTTTCACTCTCAAGCGGTAACACTGATCCGGTTCGATGGTGCATCTGTTCTTAAAATTGCATAGTAAATTTGGTGGCAATTAGAGTCCGACCGATTGTTCGGCTTCGACTTCGGTTTGCCGATTAATAGGCAATATTTTTATATTCGGCTGAATGTTCGGTTGAAAATGTGTATTATAATTTAGAGGTATACATTTATTGTGAATAATCTGTTTCAAAAAATTTGGTATGTATTGCAACTTTTTCTTAAAATCAGCTGTCAGCCACCTGACGGCTCCTTTTCCTTACCGTTACCCATACAAATCTCGAATCATAAATACGATTTTCAGTAATAACTCGACTTACTTTACTTACTTTTACAATAGCCCTAATTTTTCTTATTGAATATTCGATTAATTTCATATTCTACATACATATCTCCACCAAGTTCCAGAACTCTACCATGAACAATTTCCGAGACATGCAGTATGAAAAATTCGGTTTATATTTAAGGTGTCACGCCCCCTTTATATATAGATTTTTTTTAGCCTATGACCATCCTTGGGAATTCTGCAGTAGATGTCCGAAATTAAAAAAAACGGTTCAACCGTTCCCGAGCTTTGCAAACAGAAAAAAACTCCTTTCAAAATATGTATGTATGTATTAGGGATGTTGCGAATGTGGAATTTTAGACATCCGCGGATGCGAATGCGGATGCGAATATCTAACAGCTAACATCCGCGGATGCGAATGCGAATTCGGATGTCAAGTATTTTTAAGAAACAATTTCAGAATCTAGCATAACGGCGAGATCGTTGTTTAAACAGCTTACAACCGGTTACAAACCAAACCAGATGTGTCAGGTTTTTCTAAAGCTTTTTAAAAAGGATTCTTCAGTCTCATTCCTTTGGCTGTTGCAGAATTTGGGGAATCTGTAACATCATGAGCGTTTTTCGATTTTAGTTTCTGTTATTTTTAATACTTCTTTCTGCGACTGGTTTGAAAAATTTGTGCTTATAGCGAGCTAAACAGGTGGATATGAAAAATAAATTATTATATTCCAGGAATGAAATTTTGAACAAAATTTTGTTTTTAAATCGTGGCTGCCAGCCGAATCGGATCAGAATATTGTTATTTAAAAAAAAAACCCTGTTTTTTTTATAAGCATTTGAATCTCTCGTAATTTTTATCTTATTAAAGGTCAGACCTATAGTTTTTTAATTATTTGAGCATTGATTTTCTTCATGGCCAGATGCTTACCATTTCTGCTGAAAATCCCTATTTAAGGAGCTTACTCTTTCATTTTAAATAACAAAGAAGAGACACTTTTATCACAGAAGTGTTTAGCCAAGGATCCAATGTATATCCCTATGAAAAAAAATATTGCCCGACAAGTAAACAAAATTACTGTTTTTAAAATTTTTGCTAAAAATATATTTCACAAAAGCCCCAAATTTGGTTAAGAATTACAGTGTACACTTTCTTCTTTTGTATCTAGTAGTTTTTTTTAAGATTGGCCCAAAAAAATCATAATACAGAAAGAAACCAATGCAGGTATTTAAAGCACAGGAAAAAAATTTGCTAAAAATACTATGTTCTCTTTGAGGTACGTCAAAGGTCAAGTAGAAGTTGGATCTTGTATGACTGCCCATTGATAGCTCGGTTATATAGCTTAAGAAATAAATATGTTTAAAGACATTTTTATCAAAGTTGATAAATATAGCATTTGACCATTTTTGTTACACAAATACTCCCACGACCGCAGGCAAAAATATTGACTACAATTTGTCATTTTGTTTGCCATATATACGTTTTATTGGTGCACTTGCACAACATTCGCATTCGCAAAAGCTCCGCATTGATTATTGTGAATGCGAATGTTAAAATTAATGCGGAAGCTCCGCGGTTGCGAATGCGAATGCGAATATTCGCAACAACCCTGGTATGTATTAGTATGCATACATATATTCCAAATAAATTCAACATCGGACCATAAATACTGCGTTTTCAAATATCTCGACATCTGCGCCACCTAGCGTATGAATTCATCTTTCATATGGCATTGTTATCTGGTTCTATGCTAACCTTTGAAGTGGCTCCCTACCTCATCGCAAGGTTGGTTAAAAAGTGATTCCAAGATTTGATTATAATGACGAATCTATGGATACGACTGAAGTACATAATGAAGGTGAGAATGGTCCAACGGCCAATTTGGCTTCATTCGCTATTTTTAAACTTTTCACTGAATGGGAGAATGAGGGTTATGTTGTACCTGAGCTGCGTGTAGCTCATTCTACACAACCAGGATCTGGTACTGAGGAAGGCAGTGTTGATGGAAGTCCACAATCTAAGCCGCACAAGGCACAGCCAATACGCTCTGAGTTGCCAAATAATTGGGAATCGATACATCCATCCACCTTGCTTTGCATGATGCGACCCGGACTACAATATCGGGAACTAGGTACAGTGGGTGATTCCCCAAATGTACTTCAACGTATGGGTGTTACCGTAGATGATGTGCAGTACGAGAGTTCTGGACGTTCTAAGAAAATTGCGCGTCGCAACGTTGCCGTATCTGTGCTTGACGAGTTGTTTGGCACAAACTTCGTTATGGAGCAACAATGCCAAGACTAATGAGCAAAAAACTTCACATGTGCTTAGTATTTTAGAACTTAATCTTCAAATTCTGTAGAAAATAAGCGAACCTTGTCGCATTCAAGAATTTTACCAATAAAGGACACAGGTGAAACTTAATAGAAGCTTGTAAAACCAATCCTTAAAATCGCCAACCTGGGAAAGCTGAGAAATTTAATTTCTATATACATACATACATACATATAACTCAGACTTTCAGAAAAACTGTTTTTATCAATCCCCAAAAAAGCGTACAATTTATAGAATGTTAATAGTCCGGGAGCTAGCGACAGTAAATATGTGCAGATTTTATCGTCAAAGACAACATATCGGGGGCTTAAATTTACTGCTGTAGATTAACAAACAACAACACTTACATCGCACCGTGGGACCTTTTGGTGTCAGGAATAAAAAACCTTAATAACCTTAATTTATCGTCTTTGGCCTTTTGTGTGGTTATCAATTAACATTGGACGATGTCAAAAGTTGATCACTTACACTTACACAGCGGGACAATGTACCGCTTACAAGCGCGCAAAAATGTCAAAGTTTTGGCGAAAATCGACCTATGACATCGCACTTTAAGTTTATCATGGACATAGAGGAACGCATTATACATTTAAAAATAATGTGCTTACATCGCATCCGCGGTACAAACCTATTGTAAGTGATCGGCAAAGTCGACGTCGCATATAGGGACGAATCGAGAATATAGGACGAAAAAAAATTTTTACTCAATATATATTTGAGAGATTTCAATGGAAGTTGGTATTTAGGGGTCTTTGCTAGCACTCTTCGATATATATATTAAAATTTTAAAAATTCAAAATGGTGGATCAAATATTGTGGGCCACTTTTTCAAAAAAAATATTGAGTCGCTTGAAACTTGGTATCCAGGGGCATTCATCGTCGGTGATTTCGAAGCTGGTATTTCAGAATTTTAAATTGTGGATCCAATATGACCAACGACTTCTTTAAAATAATTATAGATTGTAATGAAACTTGATACCTAAGAACTCTCGGAGTCACTGATTACGAATTTAAAATTTGATTTCCAAAATTCATATAATTATATGGCCCATTCTCAGAAACTTCGAATTTTTTTGTGAAAACATTTTTTTTTAATTCGCGAGCACAAGACTGCAACTTTTTGTATGCGTTCCTTCAGCGGCTAGGATACAGAATCTAACATGGAGCAACGTTTTAAAGCAATGCACCATACGTTTTTAACGTTTTTTCCTGAAGTGGAAAATGGGCTTAATTTTAGTCTGATTTCGTAAATTTTCAACATATAGCTTTTTTATGCCAAGGTCAATAATTGCACTGAGTTTGGTACAAATTGATAAATCGGTTACCGAGATATACATACAGTGAACCAAATAACAAGTAATTTTTAGCCAAAAAACCGACTTCAATTCTCATATAAAAAAAAAAATATATATATATATATATTTCGTGATCCAATAATCGGATCTAAACCAGATTAGTATGGGACCACCTCTGAGATACTACCTTTCTGATGCAAAAATAATTATCGAAATCGGTTGACGTGGTTCAAATTTATGCGGTAACATACATAAAAAAAAATATTCCGGCGAACTGATAACCTCCTCCTTTTTTGGAAGTCGGTTAAAAACTGGGGCGCGACACTTTAGTAAGTTTTGGCCATGATGCAATAAAATAAGGTGGTATCAGTTGTGACACCTCGATTTGACACTGCCTTAGCGCAGTAGAATAAGAAGAAAAACGGGAAGAAATGAATCCCCATTTGGGGAAAAAATATAAAATTTCATATTTTCTTCTAAACAAAATTTGCTTTTTTATAGTATATTCGCAATGAAATGAAATAAAATAAGATATAATACCTTTTTGAGGAAACAAAGTGTGTATACAGAGAAAAAAAAAAAAATTCAACTATATTATTAGGCAAAGAATTGTTAAAGAAGTAAGACTGTTTCATCTAAGGCAGTCAATATGGCGGAATTAGAGCGAGAAGTTGCCAACCGATAACACCTTTTATTATTGCATCATAAGTTTTGGCTGTTTTTCTTTAGTTTATTTAACGTTTATTATTTTTTTTATGAAAATGTAGCTGAGTACTTAACAAACACGATATAAATTAAAATTTCAGACTTTGTGCAAAAATTACAAAAATTCTGCAAAATTTTACCAAAATTACTAACTCTTGATCAGCGTCTTTAGACAAAATTTTGGTATTCAGTTTTGTAGCCTATTAAATTTTAGTAAAGTGCAGTGCAAATTTTAAGTATCTTGGACTTACCGTTGATTTTTGGCAACTTTTTTTTGTTGAGGGTACTCCCCATTTTTATTCATATAAAAAAAATTCGAACATAAATTCCCAAAAATCAACGGTACGTTCGAACGAACAGCGCAAATTTGATGACATGCACAAAAAATGGCTTTGGGTATAATATATATTGTTTTTTTTTTGTAATTTTTAACCGACTNTTTTTTTTTTTTTTTATGTATGTTACCGCATAACTTTGGACCACGTCAACCGATTTCGATAATTCTTTTTGCATCGGAAAGGTAGTGTCTCAGAGGTGGTCCCATGCTAATCTGGTTGAGATCCGATCAGTGGATCATGAGATATATATATATTTTTTTTTTATATGGGAGTTGAAGTCGGTTTTTTTTGTTAAAAATTACTTGTTCTTACTTATTTTTCGCTCAGTAACTTTTTAAATAACAAATAAAAAGTGGTGCACGGGGATCATAGTTCAATAGTATATTGTACAATGAAGCACACACTTCTTTGGCCTTTTAAAGAAGTTTTTTTTTTAAATCTATCTTCTAATGAGAGCACATAAGCCTGCCACGTCTAGATCCCTGCGATATTGCAGAAAACAATTTTGTTAATCAAAATTTCAAAAAATGCTGAACTTTAATGGAATAAATAAAAATATATGTTAAAATATGTTATTTTTTATTATTTTATTAAATAGTACGGGTTTTTAGCTTTCGTAAGAAGAAATAAAAACCTACTCATTCTGTGCACTTTTTGAAGTAATGGGTTTTTTGCTAATGCATAAAATCATTTTTTAATTTTTTTTCAGTGCCATCAGATCTGCACGAGTCGTTCTATTTTCAAAAAGGAAGTGTCAGATTAAAAAACTTGACCTGTAGACGATAGAGGTTTATTTTTTTTTACAGAGTTGTCACCTGTTAAAAAATTAAATTTAAATTTTTTTAACAAGTTAAATGAAGTTTTAAGAGAAATGTGTATGAAAACGGTTAATTTTATAACTACATATAGAGGGATGCCACCTATTTAAAAAATCTAGCTTAATTTAAATTAAAGGAACTAGGTTATTGAGTCAGGTTTAAGAAGGTTTTAGCTTGCAAATATCACGAAGAGGGTCGCCACCTGTTTGTAAAGGCCAATTTAGTTAAACTAGAATAATAACTGTTTTAAACCAAAGGTTTACGACATTTTATTTGTTATTTTATTACAAATACATACCTTGTCAATCAGTGATTTGTTCTGATTACATTCCTTTTAAATTAGTCTTAAATTAACTCAGGAATGTTTTTACCCTTCACTTATTTTTTGCTAAATATGCCCAATTTTTTCTTTTGTCTGAAACCGATATTGGTGTATGTACATATTTCCGTTGCCTTATTCCCTTAATTAAAGTGAATTTGATTTTCTAAAAACACGTGGCAACCGTTCTACGTGTCATTTAGGAGTAAAGCCTTTTCAAAACCATTTCAATTGATACCCATATTGTAATATCTAATTCATTTAACTTAACAAATAATTTTAGTAAAATTTATAACAGGTGGTAAGCCTTTACAAACAAATAAAACTTTATTCACACCTGCATGCCAAGCCCTGCCATTTTACACCTCACTTTTGAAAATAGAACGAACTATATTTACATACCTAGTATGTAAATGCCACATGAACCAAAATTGTCAACTTCAAACCGCGTTTACAGTGAATGAATCAAAGTTATGCAAAAACAAATTGCATTTTTGAATTCAACGTTCTCAATTTTAGAATCTAAGAAGCGAATTTTCATTTAAATCCGTCCATAATTCTATTTTTGCCCACATTTTATATAGAAGGGAATCACTGTGCGGCGGCGAATTCGCCGATCACTTACAATAGGTTTGTCCCGCGGTTGCGATGTAAGTACATTATTTTTACATGTATAATACGTTACTCTATGCCCATGATAAATTTAAAGTGCGATGTCATCGGTCGATTTTCGCCAAAATAACTGTAAGTGATCAATTTTTGACATCGTCTAATGTTAATTGATAGCCACACAAAAGCCCAACGACGATAAAATAAGGTTATTTTTTTTTTACACAATGATAATGTTCTAGGAAGGCGTTGCCCAGCTAACTGGGTGTAAGTGGTTGGATTGCTTGATTTACGTGACGATAAAATAAGTCACTATAAACTGTCGCTAACCCCCGGACTATAAGATCAAAATGTTCCGCAATCATTTAATAATTTTGATGTATATATACATAATCATGTACTTATAATTTTTAATATCTAACTAAATTTTGTTTGCAGAGCAACTGGTGTCACGGGGTCAATACGCGTCAATGGTGAGCCTATTTCAACAAACTCACCCAGCTTTCGCGAACTTTCCTGCTACATACACCAAGATGACCTTCTGCGACCACAGATGACTGTTGGCGAAACGATGATGCTAGCCGCGCATTTAAAGTTGGGCTTTGGCATCTCCAAGGAATATAAACAAAATTTGGTATGCTACTACTTCGATTTATTGCTGTTCAGTTTTTAGTGCATATTTATTTATTAGCCAGTGAATATATTCTGGCTAATTCGTATACATGTATATCTGTACAAGTATTTATGTATATTCATGTGTATGTATGTATGTATATATATATACGTATGTAGAGTGATTTAAAAAGATCGCAGATTTTCTTTTATAAATAAAACAAATACAATTTCTTATCATATCATGATAACGTTCATCGTAACAGCGTTACTGTCAGATGACCGGGTAATATACATACATATAACAGATTGGCGCTTACACAATATGTTAGTATTTGACCGAGCTGCTCCGCCGATTTGTGCCGTGCGCCGCGTTGTTGTGGCACAAAGCGTTGGGACCTACAGTTTTACGCGGACTCCGAACGGNTTTTTTTTTTCTTAAATTGCCGTGATATAGTCCTTTCAGGTGTAAAGTTTCAGCCCATTCTGATGCCTCCTTCCACTTACATCAACACATGTCCACAATGACTATTTTCATATAAAAATGCAAGAAAAACTCGGTTTTCTCGAAATGAGTAACCGGTACAGAAAAACCGATTTCATTTTTGAAATTAGAGGGGCATAATACTTCTAGGTGTGAAGTTTCAGCCAATTCTGACCACTCCTTCTATTTTTGTCCATCATTTGTATGGAGTCGCGGCACTGTGCGGCGATTGTATTTTTATGAGAAGCCTGCCGAGTGTCGACCGCTATTAGAAACAAATTTTTTTTTTATTTACAAAACTTTATAAAAACTAAAACTGCTAGGCCTTTAGTAAGTAATCTACCGACCTTTGAACTAACTTGAGTTTCGAAAGAAAATTAGTTAGGGCTTTTCTACATAAAATTGTTCATATGCTGTTATTTTTTGCATGATGGCCAACTCTTTTGGAATAATATTAGCCCGAACACAAAGAAAACGTCGAGCTACGGACCACAGCTGTTCAATTATTTTTCAACGTATTCTTATGCAGATAATTATTTTGGCGACGACTGTGGTTGTGGTCAGATTAGATCTATTTCTATTTTTCCAGCGACCGATAAAGTTCTTCTTCTTCTAAACTAAATATATAAATTCATGATGTCGCTGCCGCGTCCAAAAAAAATCATCTTGCCATCGACAAAGCGTTTAGATATTGAAGTGGATAACAAGGATAACAAAGTGGAAGCTGTGGCCTGTAGCTCGTCGTTTTCAATGTGTTCAGCACTTATGAGTCTAATCGGAAGGAATGTAACACTTGATTTGCGGCAATGCCTTTTTTCCATTTGTGTGTCAAAAATACTAAGCAAAAGATTTTCATAAATATTCTGTTACCCTTAGGCTAGGTTAGGCAAGATAATGGGCCCTTACACCCATTGTGATATCTCTACGAACGCTTTAGCAGGCGGCAGACCGCCGAGTACCTTCCCAGGTATTTAAGCCGCAGTCTAGCAAAGGCTGACAGCTTAAGAGAAGGTGCTGAGATGATTCCACCTCATCGTTCCCCATGCAGCTACCAAAATAAGGAACAGGTATGATACTTAATATAACTACATAAAACCGAATCAAGCAGATCTTTTGATTGCCTACGGTCCACCCTCGTCCAGAAATACCTTACAGTAGCACACGTCCTGGTTTTCGCGCAGCGTAGTAGGCTGCTTCCTTATTAGCAGAGAGCTCTGCCTAGAAAGCAACACAGCGATCTGGAAGCCCAATTTTAAGATTGACGAAGAGTTCCTGGGCAAAGGCTCCTACAGCGACCCTTCAGTCAAGCTTCGCCACATCCGCGTAAAACTTCACCGGGGCCTCCTTCCAACCACTGCCCCGTTCATTCATCTATAAATGAGGTGTGCGTAGAGAAATAGCCAATTGGTGCCATACTAGCCACGCAGTTATTAGCGTTATTAGGGATGATCTCTAAAAATTCTCTAATATTAGATTGCCAGTCAGGCAATCGGTGCCACTTGGTTTGACTGCAGTCTTTTCTACAGCTACCCTGCGATACCGACCGGAGCTATGTTAAGAAAAACGTTAAGAGCCCGGGGTTGGCACTTACTACAGTTTACAGTAAGTCCACAGTTTGCAGACTATTCGGTCACCTGGTTGAGTGAAGTCATAGATGGTATCCTGTAAGGATGATTTTAAAAGCCCTCTCAAAAAAGGCATAGTAAATTAGGTATAAATACTTTCTCAATCGGCTTCAAGATCTTCTGCAGGACGTTTTCGATTGATACCCTTGATATATGCGTGTTGTGATCCTGACCGGAGATCACGGAGAGTTCTGTATTTAGTACAGTGTTTTAGACAGGAACGAAAAGAGGCTGATAGGTCTGAAAGCCAAAGGAGAGATGCGAGAGCTTTTTACGTCCTTAAGTATAAACGTCACCCTGATCACTCTCCTGTTGATATACTCTCACATAACGCAACTAGCGACATCTTCAGATTCTTTTTCGAATATATTGGTGCCTGCCACCGCTGACTGATAGGCGATGCCACTGTCCCCAGAACCCAAATGGTGGCTTTTCCTGTGACTAGGTCGCATGGAAAATGGCCACCGAGAAGCTTGAGCTACTTCTCACTACTCATTGTCCAATTTCCTGCCTCGTCTCTCAAATATCCAAAGGAAGCAGGCCTGCTCGCAAGAGCGCGCCTTTCGCAGAAGCCTCGCCAAAGCTTAGATTTCTTGATTTCAGACTTAAAAATTACTTGTCCTGCTCTGTAAAGTTCTCAATCAGAGAGTAGCCTAGTCCTGTGGGTTCTACTAAAGAGCCGTCTGCTTGGTGACCAGAGGCCAGACGTTATCATAGGATTTAAATAGCTAAAATGTTATATGCAAATAATAGGTTGCCAAATTTTACTATGGGTCTTCGAACAACAATCACCAAATGTTTTAAGCCATTATGAAATTGATGTCATCATGACACTGTTATCAACTTATTATATTTTTTGGAATATGTACAGTATTTAATTGGATACGCCCTAATGAGTACAGCTGTCATTAAAACAAAATGCTTCAATTCCCATAAGCAACAACAATGCGATAATTGATTAACGTAACTACTAAATGCTTTTTAATGTATGTATGTATATACATTAGGGTTGCCCAAAATAAGTAAAGTCGGAATTTTAATGCTCTCACCCCCTCGGATTACTCTATATCGAAAAAATATACCCCTATTTTTTTATTTTAAAATCAAAAATATTTAGAGGTCGCTCAAACCGCTCAAAGTTGTCCATGTATTTTAAATGGGAAAAACACCTTTTCATAGAAATGGTATAGAATTCTTGAAAATCAATATTTTTTGATCGCAAAACTCTGTTCCTCTTCAGGAGACTCATTCCCAACAAATACCCAATTATTTATTTAGCAATTTTTTCATACCAATGTATTTTGATTTATCCCCTATTGCATTTTATGGCATTTTATGGGAGTTTTGGCGAACTTATAAAGTATAGTTACTATAAAAAAAATTTCAAATAATTGGGTATTATTATTGGAATCTTCTGAAAAGAAGTGGAGTTTTCCGATCGAAAAATATTGATTTTCATGAATTCTATACTATTTTTACGTAAAGTGGTTTTATTCTATATAAAATACATGGAAAACTTTGAGTGCTTAGGGCGCTAAAAATTTTTTGGTTTCAAAATAAAAAATAGGGGTATATTTTTTCCGGTATGAGAGCATAAAAATTCAGATTTTAATTTTTCACAAGCGTTTTTGGGCCACGCTAATATACATATATATGTATGCATGAATGTACACATATACAAATATGCGTGTGTATATAAACACAAACAATATATAAACATATATATGTACGAAGCTTTCTGCACAATTAAACATTATAATTATTTGCAATTATTCTTACTTTGCAGATCAAACATATTTTGGCTTTGCTGGGTCTGGAACACCGATTCAACGTATTTGCGGCGAAGTTGTCTGGCGGTCAGAAAAAGCGCCTGGCCATAGCGCTCGAGTTGATAAGTAACCCGCCAGTTCTGTTCTTGGATGAGCCAACAACGTGAGTATAGCCCAAAATAGTTTTTCGAAATCAGCTGTTTTTTAGAAAGTGTGGTGTCCAATGAAGGGACTGACAATACATCAGTGGCAGCTGGCAGTACTGCTCAGTTTAGCCCAAAGTCAAAAAAGCTGTCATTGACAACGCCAATGTTTAGTTATTTGCCCACTGTTTTTGGGTTAGTGAAAGGAGAGGAGGGGGCGTAGGTCCTGATATCCAACCCACTGGAAAGAGCACAGTGCACACTTTGTAAAAAGTTACACCTGATCCCTCGAAACTTTCCAGAGACCCCTGGGGAATCCTTTGAAAATGGTCTAAAATTAGCATTTTTTCACCGAACATGTATACTCGATAAACAGTATTTTTGTGCAGGACACCTTTCTATTGCCAAAGGTATTCAACATTTCCTGTGCATATAACTCCGGCTACACCGAAATTCACAAAAAAGGTAATTTTTCAGACCGAATTTATTAATAAATTGGTGACCGAAAATTACAAAATTAGATTTTACAATAAAGTGTAGACCCTTGACTACAAGTGTGTGTACAATTTTTTGGATCGGGTCACCCATTCGGATACAACAGCCGAAATCATTGGGCAAATAACTAAACCGTACCCAGTTAAATAGCAATAAGGTTTTCCTCAAGCAAACAATTGCACCAAAATGTACGTATATGTTACCAATTTGCCACAGAACGAGGACAAGCTCGAATCGAACTCATTAAAAAATATGTCGTGCAATTTTGTGGTGCTGAAAATTCTATGGAGCATTTATAAACATACATATATTTCACAACCACATAATTGCTTAGTCACGATTTTTGCAAACATCCTACAGAAATCACATGTCAATGTCATTCACAATCAGTAGTTTTGGCTTTGTGAATAAATAAATAAATATTTCTAATCACAAGAGTTTACATTAAGGTGGCCCAAAAACAGTAAAGTCGGAATTGTAATGCTCTCACCCCCTATCATTGTTCTATATCGAAAAAAGTATACTGCTATTTTTTTATTTTAAAATCAAAAAATATTTAGAGGTCGCTCAAAGCGCTCAAAGTTTTCCATGTATTTTTATATGGGGAAAACCGCTTTTCGTAGAAATGGTGTAGCTTTCTTGAAAATCAATATAAACAACCGGGTATTACTATTGGGAATCTTCTGCAGATGAAAGAGTTTTTCCGATAGAAAAATATTGTTTTTTTTAGAAGTCTATACCATTTCTACGAAAAGTTCTTTTTTCCCATATAAAATACATGGAAAACTTTGGGCGCTTTGAGCGACCTCTAAATATTTTTTCATTTCAAAATAAAAAAATAGAAGTATATTTCTTTTCGATATAGAACAATCCTAGGAGGTGTGATCATAAAAATTCCGACTTTACTTTTTCACATGCATTTTTGGACCACCCTATTGTACATACATATGTAAGTGCATGCATGCACAGGCATATATATTTATTTAAATTTTAATTAAACTTAAGTGAAAGCCACATACTGCGCATATACACGTAGATACATACTACATATATGCATGCATCCATACCCTGCAGGAAATGCATCTAACTATAAGCTAACTTGAACTAAAGTCACTAAAGGTCACTATTATCTTTATATTTTCTTTGAGGAAAGCTACCCATATTTCTATGGCGGTGGCCGTGAATAAGTCAAGGGTGATTACCTCTGCATTAGATATCAACTAACTTGTAACTAACTACTTTTGGAAATAAAATATCCATATAGTGTAATAGATGTGGTAATTAATCTCTTGTCACTGGACCTCGAAAATTATTACGGAAGAAATTAAATTACTGATTAGCCCAAGACTACTGAGTAAACGGGATGCTCATGCGTACTTACATATGTACACATATATGTTTCTACGTATGTATGCGTATAAGGTGTGTCCTTATTAGCGGGCGTAGCGTTCTGCGTACTCCTCAGCAAGTTTTTCTAAGAAAGTTATCGTGGGAAACAGACCCCATTTGTTTCATTTATAGCCAGGGCCGGATTAAGAATGTGGGGGCCCGTGCCGCTATACATGTGGGCCCTTTTTTGTTGAGTTAATAATTACGCACAATTAATTGAAACACATAGTTTAATTTTAATTTTAACACTATAATTAATTATCGACTTCTTACCTTGTGTTTTCTTTTGAAATTCTCACCGGAATTTCTTTGTACCTACCGCTTATGCTGTATACAGTATTAAACGACTGACCAGGGCAGTCTCGTATATGAAGAGAGATGGAATAGTACGAGGAGACATGGAATAGTACGAATATTTTGTATTTTTGATCCGGCTTATTATTTAACTCACGTGCCCTCGTCCCTTATTTCCATATTTTTTGATATGTCCGGTGGTTATTATCAAATAAGTCGAGAATCTCATCAGAATCAGGAGAAGTTAATCTAGGTTCCGTAAGATGTATTGATGGTGCTGATACATCTTCTTAATACCTAGCAATTTTTTATGTAATCGCTGAAAAATTATTTTTGTGTTCTTTTGTCATCACATGTGGCGGCCCCCACCCCTTAATCCGGCCCTGCCCTTAATCCGGCGCTGCTCATAGCCTTCGACTTGTAAACTTAAATACCTTTTAGAGTGTAAAGTTGAAATTTAGAAGTCTTTTGAGCGTTTTATTATTGCCCAGTAATTGTCTGTTTCATGGCTGAAATATACTCGGAGGTTTGCTATTGCCTGCCGTGGAGCTACTGCTGTTAGAAAAAATTTTCTCATTCAAATTTTGCTTGGACCAGGGATCGAACCGCACTCAACCACAGCGGCTACAAATACCTACTCAAGACAAAAAGAAAAATCGGCATGTATGCATATGGGTCGTTCTCTTACAAATCGTACCTACACCTTTTTTGACTTAACGTTTTACATAGATGCGGTTATCGACGTTTGCGGCTCCATGTTATATGCATGGAGTCGAAGACGCCTATAACGCTGTTCAACCAGAGATTGAGTAGCCGACGCTAAGTTTTATGCACTAAATAAGGTTATATCTGTATCGCAAAATTTGTTGAAATGTCAAATTTTTGCACAAAGTTTTAAATTATGGTTAATATAGTTTTTGTTAGATAATGTTTTTATCAAATACTAGCCATTGCCCGCTTACTTCGCGGCGTCTAATAAGATCATTCGCGTGGGCCAATATAAAAATAGCGTCTAAAAGAAAAAATCTCTACCAAGCGTGCATGATCTTCTTTGATCTTGCAACTACAACACTGGTCCGATGCGTAAGAAAATAAAAGTTCTTATAAGGAAACTCAAGACCACAGATGTACGTTTTCTGTTATATGAGGACAAAGAATTCTCGCTGTCCCACAGGATATAAAATTTTCCCATACATTGGCTAAATTATTCGTGTGATCTCTTGAATATCGTTCAAATGAAGCCATTGATATACCAACCGTGTGGTGTGGATGTGGTCAATTCGCCTCTTTTACAATTCGTCTTTATATTTGTGAACTGGTTTCTTTGAGTCTTACTGCTGCAATATCGGCCGCCCCGAGCAACTTCGTTAATCGGAGGTAAATGCAAGATCGCATTAAGGGTATATGAGGGCGTCCGACAAAGGTGCGCTTACACAATTCCATTTAGCCATCTGAAACATAAATACATGGAGTTTCTATATATTTCGGCTGTAGCGCCATCCATTGGGTAAATTTTCTGCAAAATAAGCGATATGAGAAATTCATTTTGTATGGGAGGTGCCACGCCCCCTTTTCCACTACCTTCCGCTTTTCGTCGTAAGTACGGTATTGATAATATATATAGCTGTGGCAAATTTAAGGATATCAGCATACACAATTACATTTACACAATTTCATTTAACCATCTGAAAAGTAAATTCACATAAAATAAAAATAGGGCCAAAGCAGGCCAAACCCATGGGGTTTCTATATATTACGGCTGCAGAGCCATCCTTGGGTATCTTTTCTGCAAAACCATTGCTTATCATGAAATGATTATCATAAATTTCAACCAGGTTGTATTAAAAATAAGGATTTTCTAAATATCTCGTCTACAGCGGCACCCAGCAGGTCCATTTCTTGCAAACGAAGTCATCATATAGGTGGCTCACATTGCGAATTTGAACGAAATCGGCCAATAAATACGACCCTTATAAATGACTCAACTCCAGTGTCACCAAGCGAGTTTTCTTGTAGTTAGTCTGTAATAGGACCATATGTAAACGGTATAACCTTCGACAATTTGACTGAACTCTATCCAGTGGTTTTTGAGTTCAGTCCTAACAACAAAAACAGTTACCATTTTATGTACATATATAGATACATATGTATGTAGATAGGACAGTCTATAATAGAGCTGCAAAACTATCGATTGTACTATCGATAGTTTTATTTTTGTAAAAACATCGATTGTTTTCGGGCGATAGTCGATAGTTTCGATAGTGCCGGTGCATTGAAATTTTGTGATCTTGACTTAAATAAATGACGCTGTGAATTGAACTAAGGAAAATATTTCGAATTTCTCGCTTAAGATGTAATATTTATACTTGCATATGGACAATATTTATATTTACATATGCACATATGTATATATTATACACATTTTGTTTGGAGTTGAAGTTTCCCTACATATACAACACGATAGTTTACGATACTATCGAAAATATTGATAGTATTTTTCAAACTATCGAAACTATCGAATGGCGTCAATCAGCTCTAGTCTATAACGAAAGTCATAAAAATTAAAATTTCATATTTTGTGCAAAATTTAAAAAAATTCTTAAAAATTTTCACACAAAATTTTACCTTTTCCTTTCCTTTTTTTTTAGTTAAAAAGAAATTAACAATCGCTCAATGCGATTTAGAAATCTAGGAGAAAATGATTCCCAGTGATGCATGCCTATCTATGTATACATATTCACATAATAGACGTAACTTGCTGTCCACATTAGCGATTGTTCATGTTTTGCGATAGATCTCTGGCGATGATTCGCTTGTGTAGACCGCGCATCGCAAGGGTGAACTATTAAATAGTTAGCTTCAGAGCTTTTTTATACCCGAGCGCACTTGTGCACAAGGGTATTATAACTTTGTTCACATAACGGTTGTTTGTAACAGGCAAAACGAATCGAGATAGATATAGACAAATGTATACATAAATGATCAGAATGAAAAGAGAAATCGATTAAGCGGTGACTGTCTGTCCGTCCGTCCGTCCGTCCGTCCGTCCGTGCACACGATAACTCGAGTAAAAATTGAGATATCTTAACGAAACTTGGTACGTGGACTT